AGCATTGGCCTAGAGAGGCTGCAGGGATGGGAGAGGGATGATGGCTCTTTCGGAGGTGAGGACAATGTGTTAAAATTGATTACAGTGATGGTTGTGCAATTCTATGAATACACCAAAAACTACTGAACTAAATTGTACTTTCAATGGTGAGCTGCATACTATGGGAATTATACCTCAATAAAGTTGTTTGTTTTGTCTTAAAGAAAAAGGTGCCTGGATAAAGGAGAAACACCCAGAGAAACTGCTCACAGCATCAATTACTTTAAAGTAAAAGGCTTGGGACACAGCTGTAACTACAGCACTCAGGAGGCTGTAGTAGGAGGATTACCATGAGTTCAATGCCAGCTTGGGCTACATAGCAAGTTCAAAGCTAGCTTGGACTACATAATGAGACCCTGTCTCAAAATAAAATAAAATAGGGCTGGGGAGATAGCTCAGTAGAATAAGCGCTTGCCTGACAAGCTCAAGGTCCTGAGTTCAATCCCCAGTACCACAAAAATAAATAAATAAATAAAATAAAATACTTGATTCAGACACCTGCTTAGAACTGGGTAGACAGGTGGGTGGGGGCTGGGCAGACAGTGAACCAGGGACAGCAACACCAGGCAGGATCATGCACAAGCAGGGACAGAAACATGAAATCAAAAAAAAGAAAGAAAGGTACTTCTCCCTTCTTGAGCAAGATCACATCATGGCAAAATCAGTATTTTGGGCAGGTAAATCTAATGGATCCACCAATATGCAGCCAGGATGGAATAAAAAGAGAAAGACAAAAGGGCCAATGAGATAGCTCAGTGGACTAAGCACCTGCTTTGGCAAGCACAGGGGCCAGGGTTCAATCCCCAGTTCCGCATGCTGCGCCAGCCCTGACCCTGGGGCATGCTGAGCCAGCCACTGAGTCTGGTTGTAGTGGTGCAAGCCTGTAATCCCCCAGCACTAGGGGGAGCTGAAAACAGGAGGAGCACTAGGAGTCCAAGCTGCAGAGTAGGACCCTGTACCAAATACATAAAGGGAAAAAAAGAGAGAGAGAAAGATGGAAGGCTCCTTCCCTTCTGCCTACCCTGCCATGGACTGTTTGCCCTCTGCAATGTCCCTCTACCATGCCAGCCTGCCTTGGAGCCAGCCAGCTATGGACTGAAACCTCTACAAACTGCAAGCTAAGCCTCTCCTCCTTTAACTTGAGGGTGTCGGTCATTTTGTCCCAACAACAAGAAAGTAAGCAACATCTGAAAATAGAAAGATGAAGAAAAGACACACAGCCCAACCGCCTTAGACTCTGAAGTGGTTACATCAGAGAGACACCAGGCTGTTAGGACCTAAACTGATTAGTGAAAAGGAAAACCATCTGCTTGAATTTTGGAACTGTGGAGCCCAAAGTAAAGCAGGACTATGTTAAGAGATATTTAAAGTCCCATCTAAAGCCCAGAGCAGCAAAGAAACTCCTAGATATTGTGCACAATCTTCTATTTTTAATACTAGTATTTTTAGCCCCACCCCAGGGCGCGCTGAGACAGCGATTGAGACTGGACATGGTGGCAGGTGCCTGTAATCCCAGTGCTTGGGAGGCTGAAAACAGGAGAATCACTACAAGTGATCTACATAGTGAGACCCTGTACACCCTGTCCTAAATTTTAAAAATATACTAGTATTTTTATAAAATTTCACATAAAACAGGGGATTTTTAAACTTTAATAATGATAGTGGTTGGGGCTGGGGAGATAGCTCAGTAGAATAAGTGCTTGCCTGGCAAGCACAAGGGCCTGAGTACAATCCCCAGTTCCGCCAAAAATAATAATAAAATAATAATAGTGGTACTATATGAACCTTTAGATTATATTCTACTTCATACAGAAGTATTTGTTTATAATACCACAGAACTTTACTGAAAACAGCATGAGACCTTCCCTCATGACCTCAGGTCACAGTATACAGACAAGGCAAAGGTCTCAGTGGCTGGTCAGCATCATCACACAGAACAAACTCTGGAGCTCTCACCCTACTTAACCATACTCCACACATACAGACCTTATCGGTTACTAGGGAGAGGGAGGAGCTAACACAGAGCACTGGCCAGGCCTGCATGACTCTATGGTAGAGCTATAAATGCATTCCCTAAGACACTGCCATGGCTACTGACCAGGAGCACCAGCCTTACACAGAACAAAACAGAAATCATATGTTTACTCTTACAGTGAAAGATTTAATCTGAGCTCATGCCCTGATATACAACCTAAGCAAACAAGTTCAAGTTATAATGAGTATAGTATACATGCAATCGTGTACACACCTGATATTGAAAGGGAATTTGAATTCGTTGCTATAGGTCCAGTTGTCCAAGGAAATCCATCGGTAATCAAGGTCATTAAATCTGTAGTAAGGGTCCTGTTCATACAAGGAAAAAAAATATATAGTAGGTAAGGAGCTATGTAAAAATCAGTATAAAATAAACTGACAGCTATTGAGCATCTAAAAATTAATGAACATTTGGCCCAGGAGTAGAAAGAAGATCATCAAAACTAAAAACTATGAAGGGAAAAATTCAAACCAGACACCTGAAAGAATTATGACATATAAACAGTATAGTTTTGCAGATGTTTTTTTTTTAGTATTCTAGGGTTTAGGGGAGGGATTTTGCTTTTGCCTTTTTTTTTTTTTTTTTTTTTTTTTTTTTTTTTTGGTGGTGGTACCAGGGATCAAACTCAGGACTTTGCACTTGCCAGGCAGGTGCTTATGCCACTAAGCTATATCCCTAGCCCCTTGCTTTTGCCTTTTTTGAGACTGGGTCTCACTATGTAGTTGAGGCTGGCCTTGAACTCACTTTGTAACCCAAAGTGGGCTCAAATTTGTGGCGATGCCCCTACTTCAGACTCCTGAGTGCATGCAACACCACACCTGGGTGTAAAATCTCCTGTGTGGAGACTGAGGAGGGCTGCTCATGCTAAACCAGACCCTCTGCCCCAGCTGAGGCCATGGTCTCAAGGCCATGATCTCAGTGGCTGGTCAGCATCATCACACAGAACAGCGCTGGAGCTCTCACCCTACTTAACCACACTCCACGCATACAGACCCTATTGCTTACTAGGGAGAGGGAGGAGCTAACATAGAGCACTGGCCAAGCCTGCATGACTGTGGTAGAGCTGCAAACGGATTCCCCAAGATACACTGCCCTAGGAGAGCATAGCTCCTCCACCACCCCAACATCAGCAAAGCATACACTCTCAGGCTCCCCTTGCATTTCTCATGTTACCACCCAGCCTGACTACGTAGGCACAGAGAGGGCCTCTACGGAAGAGCACAAGCAAGCACACAATGCGCAACCACCAGACTGTGGCTCTCCAGCACACAGGTTCAGTCAGCAAGCTACAGCCACAGACATTAGGACACTTAGTGGCCACTAGTGGCCAACAAGCTGGAGTCACCTGAACCCATAAACAACAGAGACTGCCTTCCCTCCACCAGCAAGGACCACATAGCCCAAAGCCCTCGATGGACAACCAGGGCTAACTCCTGCCCTTGGTGTCCAACGTGCCCTCACAGCTTGGCCCACCAACCTGCATGTGCAGCCCCTTTGCCTTACCCATTCCTTCTACCCATTCTCCACCTTCCCCTTTCAGAGAGGGCAACCAGGCAAAAGCAGAACCAAAAGCAGGAAGTGAGCTTTTCAAAAACTTTATCTGTGACGGTCACTACAGCTCCAGAGAAGGAACAGGGTAGGTCCCAATCCCTGTGGCTCTGCAGGGACAAGTCTCTAAGGCTTTCCTTAGACACAGCCACTCCAGATAGAGAAGGAGAAGCCAACATCACCCCAAGCAGGAGTTGGAGAGGACTGATCCAGACACCTGGGACAAAACTGGGAGAGATCTGATAGTCAGCCAGGGAAGACAATAACTGATAAAACTTAGTAAGAACTGACAACCACCAAATCAATTTTTAAGATCTGCTGGATAGCAAGGTTTAAATCTGTTAAATGGCATGCTTCAGACTGTTGCAACTCCCTCCATCTCTAGTTCTCACCTCTAGCACTTGGCTTTCCATGAGTAAGCGTTGAAGATACAGTTTGGAAGAGGTGGCTCGTGATGAGCCTGCCCATGTGTCTGACCCATGTCTGACCAGTCCTGTTCTAATATTACACTCTGGACCTTGTCCAGCAGGGTTATACACATCACGAAGAGGGAAGGGGACCCCTCAGCCATGACACCACATGCTCAGCCCCTCAGCCCCACCCCCACGTGGCTGGCAGGGCACATCTTATCCTTCTCAGCTAGCTCCTCACAGCATGACGAGCTCTGGAAGGCAACCTTCTGGATGACCAGAATTCACAGTCAAATGTTTTTCTCTGTCTCAAAAGAACCCAAGTGAGGCAGGTTCATACTACTGCCTGATTCCAAGCATTCCACTTTCTGGAAGCTCCAGAGCAGCCCAGGAGGCCTCCACACACCTACCCCCTCACCCTACTCCAGGGCAGACCTGAACAAGCCACTGGCTTTCAAGACACAGGCAGATCTCCAAACAGACCATTTCCCCTGCAAACAGGAGACTCCACCAGCTGAGGCAGTGTACAAGGCAGTCCTCCCTGCTTAACCCTGATGCAAAAACCTGCCTGCAGGACCTCACACTAACCAACCAGCAATGTCCACTGCCAACGTGGACACTGCATGCCTGGGGACAGGAGGTACGCAGATTTCTTTTTCTACTGTTCACTTCCTTGTTCCTATCTTCAAACGCATTCTGTACCATGGGCTGGTAGGAGCTCTCCATCTACTTTAGAGAATAGAAAGTGCTCTGATTCATGAATTATGAAGAAAAGCTAATCAGATCTTTGTTAAATTTCATTGGAACTTGTGGAAATTTTGTCTTTTGACATGGAAAAGGCAAAATCATGGATACAGTAAAAGGATAGGTAGAGGTCAGAAACTGGGAGGGAGAGAGGTGACTCTGTAAGGCAGCCAGGCCATTCTGTGTGGCTCTAGGCTAGGGAGTGTGTCATCATCCACCAGCCCACCAGGTTGTACTAGTAAGGGAGCCCTCCTGTGACTGTCCATATGTGCCACTCTGGCAGAGGACATTGCCAGCGTGGACACTGCATGCCTGGAGACAGGAGGTACACAGAATCCAGATAATTTTGCTGTGGCCCCCCTCACACAGAGTTTTGTTTTTTGTTTTTTAAGGAAGGATCTACAGGGTGTTCAGGATCTCACTAGTAGATCGGACTTGTAGTGATTCTCCTGTTTACAGCCTCCCAAGAGCTGGGATTACAGGCATGTGCCACCATGCCCAGTTTCAATCACTGTCTCAGTGTGACCCAGGGGCGGGGCTAGCACAGCAGGTCTGGGGACCCCAGCCCTCATGCCTGCTTGCAGGCACTTTAATCCATTGAGCTATTTGGCCAGCTCTACATAGTTTTAAAAAGTCAATTAAAACTTTTTCTTTTACTCAAGGAAAATACTGTATCAAAAATAAAAATTTGCAGTCACACATTACATTTATAATAACTACTCCAAATGCTCATCAACTAGCTTAGTTGGTTCCATTTTGTATTCACCCCTTTGATCTTACTACAATTCTGCACCAGCACCTTGGAGTAACCTCCTATGCCTGAGGACACACATAAGTCACCGAGTCCTCGAGCAAACTGATGGCCCTAGCCAGTGATGGTGCCACAGTCAGGCCATGAACCACATCCCATCTCCTATCTTCAAAACTTTCCACTCCTATCTTCACAGTAAACATGTACAAAGAACATCTTTTTATTGGAGGAGGAACCTAATACCTTAAGAGGTGTAGGGAATTTCCAGAGGTCCCATGACAAAACAGAAGTACATCCAGGAACAAAACCAGCACAGTCCAATGGTCTAAGTGGACTAAGTCCACAGTCACATGCTTTCGGCCAGACGTGGTGTCTCCATGCCACTGTGCTTAAGTGTCTATATCAGCTGATCTCTACAACAGCAATATCAACAAGTGTGACCCTGCTGGATAAGCACTGTCATTGTTCCCACTGCCTAACAGAGGCCAAAGTTCAGAGTCCAATGGCCAGTGAGTAGCGGGGTACTGACAGACCCAGGCTGTGTGCCTTGCACAGTCTCAAGTTTCACAAATGCCACCACCAGTGACACTGTCAGCATGACTCAAAAAGCCAGACCATGAGATCAGCATGGCGTGTAAATACCTGCACTAGTTATTAACAGCTGACATCTACCCCTCCTCAGAGGACATCATCAAGCTATGTGTCACTGTAGCATGCAGAGTCTCCCTTCTGAGTAATCCCTGGGTGCCACCTGCTGCTTCCGCTGCCAGCCATGGGACCACTACCAGGCATGGACTTTTCATTCCTATATGGTGCTCCCCTCTGACCACTGGCTCTCCCCCAGACATGGTGACCACAAACAAAGGTAAGTGGAGAAAGACCTTAGAACCACTTCATTTCATAAACATCATTTTATCAGATGTTTAGATAAAAATAAGTAAATAAATGTTAAGAAATCATTTATATGAAAACAAGCAAAAGTAAACAATATATTAAGAGCCAAAGATATTTGGTAAAATCCTAATGTATAAGCAAGACAAGGATCATTCAGAATAGCAGTGCTATCTCATGAGACTCAGACAGCCCAGATGCCCACGTGGTGACACCCAGCCCCAGCGCGGCACTTGGGAGGCAGTGCAAAATGCCGATAGCTGGGGCCTGGCAGGAGGCCTCCCTGGCATGTGCTCTGTGGGAACCCTGGGTCTCCAGCATTCCTCTTCCTGCTTCCAGCTGCCTGGCCACAAGGGAGCAGACAGTGTCCAGGACGCAGCACCATAGGCCAGACAACGGGCTCCCAATGACAGACTGAAAGCTGCTGAGCTACAGGCCAAAAGGAACTTCTGTCCTTACAAGGTGATGGTCACAACGGTGTGCAACTGTGGAAGGTACTGAGCCAAGGTGACTTCCAGGACAAGTGGGCAGTGGGACTGGGAAGCAGCAAGTGCACAGATATTCATTTGATTACTGGGCTTTAAACATGTGTGCATGTAATTTTCTTTTTTTTTTTTTTTAATTTTATGTGTGTGTGTGCGTGTGCGTGTGTGTGTGTGTGGCCAGCTCAGCCCACCAGGGGGCGGGGCTGGCTGGCATGTGGTGCTGGGGGATTGAACCAACCGCAGTCCCTGTGCTTTGCTAAGCTTGTTCTAAGTAGGTGCTTTAGACTGCTGAGCCATCTCACCAGCCCCCAAACAATTTTTTTTTTTTTTCGGAACCAGGGATTGAACTCAGGCCCTTGCGCTTGCCAGAGAAGTGCTTATTCCACTGAGCCATTTCCCTGGCCCTGTGCATGTAATTTTCCATGGATCCAGAACTGCATAATGGAAAAGAAACAAAATGTTCTGGCCAGCTAGGGCAT